ATGTGCGATTTACTGATTATCGTAATTAATAAGCATAATTAATTCGTTCAATTATGTAAATCGCACTTCACCCGAGTATACCCGATAGACCGGACGCATTTCATAGCGGTCCGGATTTTTTTCTTTATTAGTGTTCTTAAAAATTTCCAATTCAACATGTAATTAAGTATGTAAATATCTAGTAGTTTAGTAGTAGTGCTAGTTGTTTTTGTTTCTCTTTTTCCTTTGTTCTTATGACTTTTTAACTTTTTTCTTTGTCCTGAGGAAGGGACAGGGCGTCCCGAAAATTTGACAATTGTTATTGTTCGTGTCGTTGGTCATTTTTAGTGCTTTATATAAATTTCCATCCGTGACCTTGTATCTACTTGGTAGATCCGACATTTTGGATATACAGTGTTGTTGGTTTTTTAGTGCTGTATATATATATATATATATATATATATATATATATATATATATATATATATATATATATATATATATATATATATATATATATATATATATATATCGGTTTCAGTGGACAGTTCAGTCGGAGAGCTCTCGCTCAGTGATCGGGTGGTCGTGAGTTCATATCTCGGCCGCGACTGACCTAGTCGGTAAAATGGGTAGCAACTGTTCCTCCGCCATGCGCTCGGCACTTTGAAATGAAAGTTGCGGGTCCTTCTGATGAGACCTTAAAAACCGAGACACAGCGGCAGGCGTTGGCACGATAAAGATCCCTCACTGCTCAATGGCCCTGAGTGCCGAGTATAGGTCAAAATTTGATTCAGAAGCCCTTCACTGGCATACAGTGACGTCTCCATGCGAGTGAAAAATTCTCGAGAAGGGGTGTTAAATAATATACAATCAATCAATCGGTTTCAGTGGTTATGTGAAGCAGATATACAATATGCGGGATAAAATGTCCCATTTTGATGTGGCACTGTTGCGCTCAAACGTCATCAAAGTCATTCTTATTCCTTATTGACGATGGATAAGAAGTTCTTCAGTGAAAAAATTATCAAAAACTATCTTGCAGACAAAAAATAAATGATATATGATGCATGCTACCTAACATAACATAAGTTGTCGCTATAAATGTGCATGTAATTTTACTTTTACCTCCAAGATGAAATTTAATTCAAAGTTGTAAAAAGTGAACATCAGATTATGTGAACAGTAACCTGATAAGGAGGTACTTCTGACTATTTCTATATAATTTCGACCAAGGAAAAAATAACTTGCATTTTGTTTTTTTAGTATAGTTGATAGTTATAGGTATTAACCTGTTCGTTAGATGTGAATGAGGAAGCACTACAGAACAGATGAATGGTTCTTCCAATTCCTTGTATGTTGATATACTGTCCATCTATAACTTCATTTTCGTCGTATATCACGATAGGAGATACTTTCCACTGTCCCTCTGATTATCAAATGGAAATATTGAATGTAAACCAACATGACCAAGGAAGAAGAAAAATAATCATATAATTTTACATCAAATCCTTTTTCAGTTGATGCATAATTTTATATAGAATAATTACCTTCAGTCGAAGTTTTTGTGTTAATGAATACCGTTGCATTTACACTTCCTTTTCCACATTCACTAGTGTATCTGTTGTAGCCCGATTCACACATTATTTCTAAGTATGCATCACTTTTCATGATGTGGTAAAAAATCTCCGATTGTTGAACATTTATGCATCCATCTGTGCTGCTAGATACTGGCACGATATTTGGAGGGTCTTGTAGAGGTATTTTAGTGAATTTTCCAGAAATATTCTTGCACCATCTGATGTTCTTTTAAAAAAGTTAACAATCCCTTTTAAATTTAAACGATGTAATTGAAAACATAAAAACAATTATTATATTTTAGCTTTTACTTGCAGGCGATTTACTTAAGAGAGAAAAATAATCTGCGTTGATTCATAAAGAAAATAATTAAAGATGCCTTAAACTGACAAGTATTTAAAAATACAGTTTTATTGTATAGAAATTGAATAAAATCGGATAAAATTATTACACTTTCAATGTGCATTTTGTTTCAATTAAAAAATGTTCCTATAGAAACATTTTAATTTAACGTGTATTTCTTTTTCTTTTTTTCCTTTCTTTTTTTTATACTTTTTTTTGTAGTTCTTAATACCCAGCACTATTTATTGGGAAAGAAATAATGATCAATTACAAGGTTGAAACAGGGAACGATCTTTAAGATAATCTACAAATGATTTAAATCTGTAAACAGTGTGAAAAACAGAGACCAGAGGTGGAATGAGATGCCAAAGAGGAGCAAACTTCTGAAGCCCCAAATATTGATCATTTAGATGGAATATTACCCCGTTTATAAAAAAAAATCTAGAATCATATTATGATAATTATAAATGACAGCCATTCTTGGACTCAACGAAATAAACCTAGAGAACGATGTCATGTAATGTTTTAAAGATGTTATTTTATCATTTTTTCTTAAAAAAGATAATATTTCAAGAAACACTGCAATATTTAAATTTCATTCTCAAGATCTTTAAACTTTTGCTCTTGGCTTATTTTAAAGTGTCGATTTTGACTTTCTTTCTTGGGAAGGGAGCATTTACAATTTTCCGTTTTACCCATTTTCCCCCAGAAAAACAAGAACCAACTTCATTAAAAAAAGAAAAAAAAAGAACACACCTGGCTTGGTAGTCCATTTATGCTTTCAACTTCGGCAATGCATTTAAGGTGCAGCACGTCTCCTGGTCCTTCCCCGCTGCTTTTTACAATGGTGGGGGCCTGAATTTCGTTTGGAGATGTTCCTATATTATGATAGATTTGAAAGTTAAAAGTTGCTTTTTCAATGGATTTTTTTTTTTTTTCGGGCATTGGTAGTAAATACTCTTATTTTTCAAATATGTGCATTATTTACAAGTAATTGCACAATGCGAGATCGAAATGACATTAGATCTGTAAATTTTAAAGGGGAACCCTATGCATGTTTTCTGACGGGTACTTCGTGTCTATTCGTTTTGTAATGACCTAGAATAACAAACAATAAAACAAATGTAGACGACCATGTATATTATCGTGGAGCAAACACGGACCGCAAAAACACCATAGGTGGTATCAGGTGCCATGGGGTAGTGAGCATTCCCTGCCGACCGTCCACATCAAACGTGTGCTCCTTTCGTGATCGGGAAATAAAATTAGAATCGTAAAATGTGTGTAAATAATGGCCTTACAATTAGGTTGAAAAACATCAGTCAGAATTTGTCTCAATGATATATTGTATTGGCTGACAAGGTTATTGTATCTACCATAGAACTTACGAATTGGTCACTTTAAACGAGGCATCTAATATTCTTCATTCATCAACATGTTTGTCAATAATTAAACCCAGTTTAGAAATTGCTTGCTCTGCTTCTATTTTGTATTGTTTTATGGACTTTTGATCTTAAATACAGCAATGCAGCTTAGGCATGCCTCGAAAGATGTGTAGTTTAAAATAACAACAAATAAATTTTTCATGTCCGTAGAAGAAATCAATTGTCAATAAATGAGTATTTCGACATTGTAAAATTTATCAAAAGCATATTGCCCTCCTACATTTCTATAGATTACTTATCAGAAATAATTATTTATTGCAGTTTTGTGAGCAAACAATGTCCTTCCTTCTAAACAAAAAACAATTGATAAGCGAGTTAAAGTAATTTAAATATAAGAAAGATGATTCTGTTAATATGTGCTATATAGCAATTATATTAATATATCTACAGGCTTATGGCCCTATATTACTCAATAGCCCTAATGCCACGAAAAGTCATTATTTCAGGGTACTTTTTAAAGTTTTAATACGTATATGAATGTAAGATAAAAATTATACTATTAATTAATTGTTAATGAGGCTGTAAATGATATTCTTTGCAAATTAGGTTTAAATAAGATTTTGAATTGACAAGATATATTTGTATTTTACCACTCTACATAAATTCAAACAAATATTTTGCATTACCGATCTCACCTTTTGTCAGCACAAAACTTTTTTCCTGACTTTCAAAAATTTCACTTCCGTTGGACACTCTACAACGAAAGATTGTGTAGAGGTTTGGGTCAATTGAACACATGCTCAGTGTAAAAGAGACAATTATCCTTGTCCTGCAATTTATTTCACTCCAAGGATACATGCGACAATTGAAAGAAGACATGCTATAAATGTCCACGCTTTGATCTGTTTGGAAAGTGTAGGATCCCGTTTTATTAGTCATTGCAAGTTCTTTCCAGTCTCTTTTGTTTTTTGTTCGAATTTCCATGACCACTTCAGGGATAATGTTATTTTCATTAGGATATTCATAAATGTAGCAGTAAACAGTGACGTTATTTTTTCCGATTGTAGTTGTTGGAACGGCATAAAGGCTCCAATATCCTGTAGATTTTATATAAATCGTGAAAACATCGTAAAGGAATACTGTTGCAAAAAATGCATTTAATCTTAAAAGACAAAAATGTTGACATACCTTGACAAAATGGACAGAACACGATAAACAAAATCATCAAATACATAGCTAAATCAGGGAAGTAAAATATTTTCCAATGTCCTTGAACTTCACTTTAGATAAAAATACATTTGGTAAATGATTCAACAAGTTAATAAAAAAAGTTTAAACAGGTTTTCAACAGAGCTTTAAAGACAGGCGGTACTTGAAGCACTAAATATGGAAGATATGCTTCGCTAGTTCTGATCTTTGTTATCTTCATAAAATATCAACTACAGAATAAACAAGAGTTACGACGATTAACAGTGAGACATATGTTTATTTCTAAAGCATATATTTAAATACATTTAGCGGGCTAGAGACAAAAAGAATTAATTTAAATCAACCTATGAAAGCAAAACTATTCTTTGATACTATTTTATTTTACAATTCCTCCCTTAAGATGATGGGCATCTTAGGTCACTTGTGTTTTCTCAAGTATTATGGGCAATGTCCAGATCGCTTCTCTTTACTGTTCTCACTCGTAGAAAAATATAAAACAAAATCAATACTCTCTCTCTCTCTTTCCTGAAATATAAGTTTAATCTACTGGAAGTGTGATATTGATCCGTATCAGCCCCGTAGATACAAATCAACATAAGCACAAATTCTCTATTTATTACTACGTATATAATAAATGCTTTATACGTCTAATATTTCAACCAAATTTGAAGATGACGAACAGTTTTTGAGCTCAAAGGTCATTTCAAATTTAACATATGAGAAACAGAACAAACAAGGACATATAACCTCTGAATATATATGTAAGAGGTAGGGAAAGATGCCTACACTACTAGACGAAAAAAGTGCTGAGAATCCCAAATTTTACTGATAATGTTTGATAATTACTGATACTGTGCTGTTCTTGCTGATAATTACTGATATTTACTGTTATTTTTACTGTTGTTGCTGATAATTTTAGTTATTGCTGATAAATATTGATAATTACTGTCGTCTTTACTGTTGAGTCTGATAAATACTGATAAATACTGTTGATGTGCTGTGAGATTTACTGATAATTACTGTGGTCACTTTTTTAAAGCTAAAATAGAATTAAGGGCTAAAAAACCTTCTATTATTACTTTCTTTTATTTAAATAATCATGAAATTTCCCTATTTTTTAAAAATGTTCTGCTAATGACAAAAATTAAACACTGATTTCAATTCATTACTATGATATTGTTGTGAAAATGCTGAAATAATT